TCACTGAAGTTTTTAATCATGCTGATTTGTCCACAGTGAAGTTCAGCCGATGTCTTTGTCTTTTTTTTTTTTTAATTCGGGCTACTTTAATTTTGGGCTACCAAAATCTGAAGAATGTCTGCCCGAAGGGCTACCAGAGATTTTGAAATTTTGCGAGCCCTGCTTGGCCAATGAAAGCTGCCATGGATTCCAGACCTTCAGCCGTCAGTCTGAAGGTCTGGCTACGCGAGACTATAAGCAACCCAAACTTCACAGTTCCACACTTCACTCTGAAACATGCAGCGTTTTTATTTGCTTAGTCATAAGTGATTTCAGTTTTATGTTGATTAATCGTGAAGCCCTACACCTGGAATTAAAGTACCAGAAACAGTAATGTGGAAAATATCAAATCTGTCACAGTAATGGCTTGTTTTGTTCAGATCTGAAATGGTTGCCGAGGCAACAAGTATGATTTAATAGATATATAAATTGCTTAATTTTTTTTCAGGAGCCTTCTCCTTCAATGGACACTTACTATCTTCCTGGTGCAGCTGCGGATGATCTAGAAAAGGTTCAAGATACATCTTCACGCAAACGGAAAGCCTCTGGGGACATGTCCACATTGAAGAAGAGTCGTGTGAGATGAAATGTACAATTTCTAATGCTAATGTAATATGTATTTAAGTGATTTTATTCAATTGTTACATTGTAGATAAAAATAAATTGTCTTGGCAATAAAAAATAAAAATAAAATTCATAATGTGAACCACAGCCCAAGAAACCTATTGAACAGTCATGCATAAAAAATTAGAAAACATTTTTTTCATAATTAAATCAATTAAGGTGCGTTCTTCAACAGAAATGACAAAAGCCAAAATTACACAAGCTTGCATTTTTGTTATGCTAGACATTTCTAGACTCTGATGTGCTACCACTTTCTGCCCTACAGAGGGAGTGTTTTCACGTAATGGAAGGGTGTTCAAACAGGATGTACAGGAAGACAATTTAGACATTGAGAAAATGATCTTGAATCACTATACCTCATAAAATAGTTTGCTTCATGTAATACAGTCTACTTCATGGAATCAATTTAAAAGTGGTTTGTAATTCAGTTTAGCACTCTGTTTAGTGAATCCTGATTATCTGATACTGTGTAAAGAGTAGTTAAATTTACTCAAGGTGTTGCTTACAGTTCCTGTTTGACCCCCGGTGTAATTCCTCTTTATGAAAGACATCAAAATCTTCTGTGTCCACAGCAACCGTTCCGTTACTAATGGCAACAAGTGCACAGATTTTTTTTTATGCTGTTGCTGTCTGGCTTATGTCATAGACCATTTTTAACCAGCCTTTTTTGCAGTGCCATTTCTTCCTACACAATTAAGCTCATTTTAAAGGGTATTATTTGTAATGTTTAAACTTAACTGCCCTTTAAACTAAATAGTCTTTGTCCCCCTTTTTTCCCTCTAAATAACAGATTACTTTTTTTTTTTTTTTTTACATGGAAGTTAATTTATACAATTTTATTACATTTTAAGTAAAATAATTTATTTTGCATGGAATCCCTTGATTCCTGTCACACACATTCACTTCATGCCATAACTGGATTTGCTTGAGAAGTCTGATGGCCTATATGAGCATGTAAATGATTTACCCTGGTCATGGCTAAGCCTGCCACCATGGACTACTGAGACCGGGGGGTTAAACCACAGTCTCAAAGCCATCGGATTACGAAGTTGGATCCCCCATTTGTCACAGAGGGAAGGAGGTGATAGGGTAGGGGGAAGGGAAAAGGGCTGTTCTGAATGCCTGTTTCACTTGCCGAACACAAATCTGCTATCACCCTTTGTGTCATTGCACTCTGTGTTTCTGCCTTTGTGTCTCTTTGCTTCAGTCCTGAATGAGTAATTAAATGCAGTAAATGAACTTTTTTTTGCCCAAGCTCTACAGCACTACTGCTGGTGCAGATAAGGCCTCTTTGCTCCTTACCTGTCTACAAGACTGATATTGGGACAAGTACAATCTAATGAGAATAACCCACCCCACTGGGACCCCAGTCTGATAGTAATGCCATGTTGCTGTGGTAATAGGAGGAAGGGTAGCATGTTGTGAGGTTTATGACCAATGCCATAGAAAAAGGCCATGGAAAATGTACATATTTCTGTAATGTATGAATAGGGGTTATGTCACAGCAATTGTATAGAAATGGAAGAGAAACAGAATGTCCCTTTGTTCCTGTCTAAAATCAGGACAGTCTGTTGTTGCTCAAGACAATGTTAAACAAAACTGCTCCTTTATTCATTCAATAAAGTAGCAAATTGTAAATAAAATTCACAGAATTTAGAAAAGGAGGAGATAGTGGATTTTTTTTTTTTTTTGGCCATTTACAGAGTAGTGATTTCTGTGAATCTGTTAATTTCAATGAACAGTTCAAACCCGATTCACTGATTCAGTTTTACGTCTTGCAACTTGTTTCACAAATTTGTGTTTATTGCATTTCTTCTGGAAAGTGTCCTTATTGTAAGTCCATGTGTACCAATTCGGTTTGTTGCAGCCATGATTCAGCTCATTAAATAGGCCTATAAAGTAATTTATAACTTAAATTTAATTAGTGTAAACACAAGCATTACTTAATTTTTTTTTAGCATGCAACAAAAATGCAGCATGTTTTAAAACTTAATAGTTAAATCTTTAATCATAGCGAGTCGTGAATGTCCGATTGAAATTATTCTTGGTTCAGGGAGTTAGTGAGCTGTTGATTCGAAAAACTGCTCGGACGATTCCTTAACGTATCTTAGGGGGATGTTAGTATAGGTCTTTTATAAGGCTGTCATGGAGATAATTGGGGTAATTGTCATTTTTGATATTTCGCTGACATTTGTTAGGTTGTAAGGGCATTTTATGCGTTGTATAGCTTAATTTTTCATGTAAATCACGCACAGCAGTCTGTTTACCAATTTGATTTTAAAAGGTGTCTATCCCTGTTTCTTATGTGTTTCTATTATAATACGTTTCTATTCCCTGATCTGTGCTTTGGTGTGGTCCTCAGGGCAAACCTGTCATCCTATTGCAGGATAATTCACGTTAGAGACTAAATAACCTCCTCAGGCCAGTTCCCCAAATGCTCGCTTGCTGTTGCAGCAATATGTGCTCATTATTATTCTGTGGCCGTATAGCCTACAGTCTACGAAACCGTGTTAAAAGAGCCGGGGTGACCGACACGCACCATCATTACAGCTGTCTGATATCTCTCAACCTCCACCTGCTGCCTGTTGCCTTCAGATGACCAGTCTGTGATCTAAACAGGCTATCCTATGTGTTTGGGGAGGTGGGGCGGTGTTGGACTGGATTCAGAGATTTGCTGGATGGAGGCAGGGGAGGGCTGAACTGACCGCTCCGCTCATGTGACAGTCTGATACCATGCGGGAAGCATGTGCGCTTTGCGCGTTTCACTTGGACCGGTGACGCGGAGGCTTTGAGCCGGTTCGGCTGGAAGGAAGAGGTCTCGGACTAGTCCCCATATAGGTAAACCTAAACACCTTATTCTCCGCGTTATCTATTGCGTGTCGCTGCATGTAATGTCTTTGCGTAGATTGACATCGTTATTACGCATTGGTATACTCGTTTTTTTTTTAGCTCTGATGACAAGTGTCTTAAAATCATTTGTGAATATAGCATTATTTTTCAATGATTTTGGGCTCTCCTTAGTCAGCATTGCACTCATGAGAGATGCTGTTATCAGTGACTTGATGCATTCTACGGAGTCATAGATAGGGATGGGAATCCTACCGAATCGTTTCTGGTTCTCTAACAGTTCAATGAAAGATTCTTTAGTTATTGGGAGATGGACATATTTAGAGAAAATTGAGTTCTTATTTTATTTACTGTCCCCAGCAGTCTCAAATGATTAGATAATTTCAGATTTCAACATAAAAGATATCATAAATTAATTGAACATAAAACATTTTAATGCAATTCTTTAAAAAAACAGGCCATAACAATATATTACTTAAAATACTAAACAAAACGTGGTGGCATATTTCATTCATTCATTTGTTCATTTTATGAAAACAAAACTCAAAATGTGTTGCCTACAACTACACGTAGTCATATGAACATCCAGTCAGTAACATTGGTTTAAGTCTTACAAGCCCTAAGTAGGCCTACATTATAACACAGGAGGGAAAATAATAACTTAAGGTTCACTAAGTGAGTCAGATTAATTCAGTAACCGCGCAGACTGATTCATAAATGTCATTATATTCAGTGAAATATCCTGCTCATAAGAGTCATTCGCTCCGGTTCATGAGAATCGCACTACACACTGGTTATTTATTTATTTATTTCAATACACTAAAAATACCGATTCATAAGATTCATTCATTTGGGAATCGGACTACACATGTCTCGTATCTTTTTTGATTTACTAAAAATAACCAGCTCAAAAGAGTCATTCGTTTAGGAATCGGACCACACTGGTGGCGCTGTTGATTCAGTAGCGGTGTCGATGGGCTGAATAGAAGTGCAGGAACCCTCTCAAGAGTATTTTAGTTCGGGTTTTTGTCCGCAACGGCTGAAAAATGAAAAAGAAACGTCATTAAAAAAGATCGGTTCCACTATTTTCTAAATAGAACTGAACAAGAACTAGTTATTGATTCCCAACCCTTGTTATTGAGTATAACGGCGCGCTCATAAACTATCATTTGAATGGCTCATCAATCCAAAATCAATCAATCAATCTCTCTCTCTCTCTCTCTCTTTCTCTCTCGCTCTCTCTCTCTGGTCACAGACAAACACTCTCTCTCTCTCGCTCTCTCTCTCTCTTTCTCTCTCGCTCTCTCTCTCTGGTCACAGACAAACACTCTCTCTCTCTCGCTCTCTCTCTCTCTTTCTCTCTCGCTCTCTCTCTCTGGTCACAGACAAACACTCTCTCTCTCTCGCTCTCTCTCTCTCTTTCTCTCTCGCTCTCTCTCTCTGGTCACAGACAAACACTCTCTCTCTCTCGCTCTCTCTCTCTCTTTCTCTCTCGCTCTCTCTCTC